CGTCCGAGCGCGCCCCACCCCGGGCCGGCGCTCGGGTCCCGCGCCTCGGTGCCGCCGTGCTGCTGTCGCTGGACCCCGGGTGTCGCCGTGCAGCCCGCGCTGGCCTCGCACCGCGTCAGTCCTCCTGCCTCAGCCTCCAGTGCTGGGGTGCGGTGGCGGGCGGGGCAGGTGACAGGGACCAAGACCAGCCTGGCAACACAGTGATGACTCAGAGTAAATCCCAGCGCTGCAGGAGAATGAAGCAGAGAAGTCCCAAATTCCAGCCCTGCCAGCAATTTAGGGACTTAGTGGAACTGTCTCAAAATAATGAAGATAGTAATCTGAGAATGGACAAAGACCCTGGGTTTTAACCTCCAGTACCGCCCCAAAATTCGTATTTTCGCCTTTTAACAGCATGGCTGCACTCACATGTTTTTTCCTAATTCTTTTCTAAAAATTGGCCAATTCTTTTCCGTAAAGAGAGGAAGTTTGTTTTGTTTGAGTCAGGGCCTTTGTAGTTAGGCTGGCTCAGGTGAGGCTCAAATTAACGGTCTGCTGTGGCACAGGCCTGTAATCCTAGATACTCAGGAGGCTGATGCAGGAGGATCCCTGTGAGTTCAAGTGCACCCCGAACGACATTAGGAGACCCGCTGGATGAGAAGAAAGGACTGCCGGACTGCTGTGGCGCATCTACCTGTACGTTAGGCAGTCACTCCATTGCCTCGTACCTCCTCGCACAGACTCTGGGCTTGGTCCTTGGACCACAGCGGCTCGTCCTTGTGGCTTGCCGCCGGTGCCCTTGGCTCTCCCCAGGTGTGATGAAGCCCCCGCTTCAGCAGCTCCCTACACCTGTCTCCAAAAAGTGGTACTGCATCCTCATCCGTGTAATTCCCTGGATGTGGCCCCTGTGTTCTTTCCAAAGTCAAAATGGGGGGCCGGGGAGATAGCTCAGTAGAATCGCAAGGGCCAGAGTTCAATCCCTGGTTCTGCCAAAAGAAAAAAAAAGTCACAATGACCACAACCAGGGACCACAGTGTCTGTCTGGCAAGCTCTGAGTTTGATTCCCACTACCAAAAAAAAGAAAGAAAAAAAAAGAAAATGACCATGAAAGCTGGGTGTAAAACAAAAAGAAAGAAGAGAAAGCGAGGTGTAGTGGCACACAGCTATAATCCCAGCACTTGGGAATTTGAGGCAGGAGGATGTTAAAGAATTTAAGGTCAGCCCTAAAAGTACATAGTAAATGGAAAATCAGTCTGACTCGAAATCTTTTTAAATAACCATGGAAGGTAAATATTTTGAATCAATTCAAGACATTGAGACAGGCCAGGGGCTGGAGAGATGGCTCAGTGGTCTAAAGCACCTACTTAGAACAAGCTTAGCAAAGCATCGGGGACCGCAGTTCAATCCCCCAGCACCACATGCCAGCCAGCCCGCCCCCTGGTGGGCTGAGCTGGCCACACACAC